ACAATACACAGTTTAATAGTTAGTATAGGTCTAAGTATGCCTATAATATAGGCTTCAATTTGTATGATGATGGACGTAGGGTCTAGAAATAAAGTTATAACTGCAATTAGACCTAAAGTCTAATACATTAGTTGGTGTAAAACATGATTTACAATCAGCCAATACAGTTACAAACTACTGTATTAGGCCTATAATGTTTACTAAATCTAGATCTGTTGCATATATTGCCAATCTTGCACACCAGTTAATATGTTACATCAATCTCGTATTTTCTTTTTGTTAAACATACACTTACTTGTACGTTGTACTCTAGGACTTGTATTTGATCTACAGGTGAATAATGGAATACAGTACTGTAATTTACTTCTGTACGTCAATTCGGTCTCACTGTATTTCAGTGGGCGGCTTTTAAAAGTTAAAACTGCAAGCGTAATACACACAAATAACTGTCGTATTTACTTAACGTAGGGCAGTTGCGCTATATTCTAGGGTTTGTTTGTTTCTAATTAAGCACAAAGCTACACAATGGGCTATCTGTGCTCTGCCCACCACGGGTATCAAAACTCGGATTCTAGCATTGTAAGTCCGCAGACATACCGCTGTGCCACTGGGGGGCATATCCTAGGGAAGGGCATAATTATTAATTAATAGACATAGGCCAGAGGAAATATTGCGCCCCTTCACACATGAGCCCGGGGGCGACTTTGCCCCCCCCCTTGCTCCCCTCTTGCTACGCCACTGCAACCGCGTTTTATCCACACAATCAACACTAATAGATAGGAGTGATTTTATTTTGTAGTTGTACTTCTTGAACAATCTCATTAAAAGAAATAAAAAGCACCGAATAACAAGATTCTTAAAATGCAATAAATGTTCTTTAAAGTTACAAAACACACGTTATACACTTACACTTCAAATGACTAGACACATTATTAGAAACTATCTAATATTAGGTTGAACTACCTCTTGCTGTAATAACGCCAAAAGGGGTTTTTATTTGACTGCAGCATTGAAGCCAATCTCCAGCAAAATTGACCGAAATTCTGTAATCCAAGGAAAATAACTGAAGTCCCCGTTATGTGCTATGAACCAACTCTGGAAAATATGAATAGGGTGAAAAAGATATGACGTAGCCATTTTATTTTATTTTTTAAATTAAGAGACCTTATCCTTAAGGATAAAATGTGACATTGTGGTAGATATGATCGGCAACAACGTCCAAGTACCCTCTTGATATCATTAATCTTCTAGTTAATAAAAAGACATATACTACTCTAACAAGATTCCATACTATTACACTAACTCAAGTGGATTGCGCTACTAAATCAACACTAGTAGACTCAAGTGTTCGTTCATGCAGGTTTCTCCATTTTATTTTTTTATTCTACAATAATTAAAGAAAATGGCAAAATACAACTCGCCAGACATATCACCATTGTACAGTTATTCAATGTAATGATTACACTACGCACCACTGAAGCACTGCTTAATTTTTTTTTTTTTTTTTTTTTTTGCATAGGGGATAAGCAGTTTTTTTTTCTTATCACCAATTAATGATAGCCATCATTTTTCGTAAAGCAAAATTTCTTTTTGTTCATAGGTGCTAATGACAAGCAACAAATACAACTACAATAGAAGTATACTGGGGTTCATGATATGGATATTTGCGTTGAAACCATGAGGTACGAATAAAAAGCTAAAACTTTTAATTTACCGACATATGTTTTGACAACCAAGAGATGTGAAGCTATCACAAGTCTTGTGAATGGAAAAATTAACATTCTATGCTTGACTGACCGACGACAGTTAAGCTTCAAACAAACCTCAATACATATATTGACATATATATATGTAATAATAATGAGGATAAAGCCCAGCTAGTTCTTCCATGTTTGACTAAGTTTCACGCCAATAAATGAACAATTACTATCCGAATACAACTACAATCTTGGTTGTCGACAAAGAGTTTTAGAAACGAAAGCCTGCAAATTCTAGGTGGATTCCTTTACTTTGCGTTACATCAGTTTCCTTACCCGCTGGTTCAAGAAAACGTGGCATACACAATTGGCGCCCAATTTATTCCGAAATACCGCGTTTTCTTTTTATTATTAATTTAACGTTGGTTTACTCGTAATAAGCCAATAAATTTTTTTTTCGACTATTATGTCTTTATATTTTATGGGGCATACTAGAGACATTACAGCCAAGGTTAGAACAAAACAGTACCACGCATAATAAATACTAGAAAATTCAGTATGAATTACGAAATATATAGGTTCAATTTCCCATGAGAAGGTTTACCCCAGAAATTTTCTTCTATTACAGTTCTTTCTGTATTAACTGTTATTATTGTCATTCCAGAGATACATGGGAGCCATCCCTTTCAATCAGCTGCTGAATCTCTTGTAAACTACGTGTATGTTTTCAAAACTAGCCTGGTTTAGAAAAAATAAAAAGCCTAGTTATAGTTTCAAAGCAATCTATTTCTAATACGGTACTTTACAAAAATGTATACACACATACTACACGTTACTTGTGAGTTATGAGTAAATAAACAACCGAGAGATAGAAGATAGTAAATAAATACTTTTCCGATAAAATCACCGGAAGCATGTTAAATTAAATTCCGAAAGATGTTCATTAGAGAGAGAGAGAGTATGTATATTTCGAAAAAGAAAAACTGAATTAACACCAACATAATCCTAGTTCTGACCAATTTTATTACAATATCAATACATAAAAACACAAGTAACCTCAGCAGACAACTGTTTACTTGTGTTGAATACAAAATAAACTGATATCATAAAAAGTACTAAATATTTTCCTCATACGAAACTTGGTTTTAGTGTTATTACAGGGTCAATAGTTAATTTAGTATAAGTAAGTAGCTTCTGAAGCTTAGCAGCAAACACTAACACGAAATTATCTGGGTTCAGTGTTATTTGAAACTCAGCAAGAGTTTTGTTTCATACTTACTAGTTTATAGCAAATTCTTGATTTTCCTTATGTTAATGTACTGGTAAAAATAATATTTAAATGGTGTAAAAATACAACCACTACTGGCGAGACTTCAAGCTCACTGTGGGAAACTAAGGAGTTAAAAAAAAACACTTCAGGATTTCAATTGAACAGACATGTAAAATAAGCACGAAAACTAGCTACGAAGCTACATAATTTCAGATTCCAGGCGAACTGTTATTACACAAAAGCAGTACTAGTGTAATTATTCACTAAAATTACTCTTCAAGGTTAGTAAACTCAGTGTTGTTAAAGGGCGTCAGCCGAGATACAAAATTCGCAGGCTTCTATATCCAGAACATACAACCACATTGTTCTAAGGTCAGAAGCAACTTTATCGACAGAAAGGCGAGTCACCTCAAAACTATTAGAGAACTATTTATATATATATAAAGAATTGTAGACCAACGACAGGTTACGTTAAAATAATACAACTTTCAATTTATTATAATTACTGGCTAAGGGATACGTTTGTTTACTTAGTACTTGAACTAAAATAAATAAAAAAAATTAGACGAGACTTCGTACAAAGTTTATATGAACAACTAGCTAGAAGGGAAAACGTACATAATATTGTTACGACAGCGGAAGTCACGTGACTCTGGTAACACATCAAGAGTTTCTAGAAGGATCATGACTGTTCCTGGCAACTAGTGTTTGCCAGATGCCTTCTATTTTTGTATACAAGCCCGGCAAATAAAGCGGAGATATAGTTGCAGATAGATATAGAGACAGATAATTGACTCAAGCGAGCGGTAGTGACCCTAAGTAAAGTACGTGAATCGTTGTGAATTATAGCGTGTGTGTAAGTTAAAGTGACTGTGGAAATTCTGTGTTTTGCGAAGTTGTATTGAGAAAGAATAAACTAGTTTTATTTAAGAAAGGACTCGTATCATTGAAGTTCCTCGGGAAGAATTTATACCGGAAATTAACAAACGACCAGAGACGTAACAATATAATACCAAACAAGTCCTGCAGGGATATACACTCGGGTAGTTCATGCATTGTACCATCGTTAATCAAGGGTTTTACTTCTGGACGTAAGACACGAGTTAGGTCGAGAGATAAAATCTATAAATTAGACAGTATTAACTACCACTGAAGATGTTTAAAAATTGCATTGTTAAAAAGTTTCCTT